TGATCTGACCCCTTCAGCTGCGACCTCCCGTGGGTTGCTGACTTCCTCTTTTTCCACCAGCCAACCTGAACTCTATGGTTCTCAAGAACCATACTGAACTCAAGAGGTTCTTTATTTTTTAATCAATGCCAAATGCAATGTCATCCAGAAACAGCTTTTATTGAGAACAGGGGCCTGGGTAAAGTTAATGTTTTTCTCTTCATTTGAAAAAAATAGGTGCCCTATAATAAAAATAACTTATTCTTCATATAATCCTCACAATAACTCTTGGAGTTAGGCAACAAAGGCCTGTTTCACAAGCAAGAACTTCAAGTTCACGAAGTTCCTCAAGGCCAATGAAAAGGGAAGGAGGCCAAATTCGGATTTGAATTCATCAGGCTCTAAGGAATCTCAGACTGTCTCCATTTAAAGCCCCTCAGGGTGGGTTTGGGGGTGCACACCTATAATCCTGGCTACTTGAGAGGCTGAGGAGGAAGGTCCCAAGTTCAAACCCAGCCTACGCAATGTAGAAAAATCCTGCCTAAGACCCAATTAAAAAGGGGGGAGTGGAACTGGAGATATAGCTCAGTGTGGAGCACTTACTTCACATGCTTGAGACTGTGGGTTCAATTCCCAGGAGGAGAAAATAAAAATAATAAAAAATAAAGCGCCTTCGGCATCCTTGGAAGTGGGAAAGGCAAATGGTAAGGGCTGGAATTAGAGGACTGAAGATCTGTGCTGACATTCTGGTCCCGTTACTCTGAGGTCCTGCGAAAGTTTTTCTGATCTGCAAATGGCTTCTAAAGTCCCTTCTTGGACAACTTCTAGGGTCCTAGGAAAACCATCTAAAAACCTTTCCATCAAATCTGGCATCCTTTACAAAGATTAGACTGTCACTGGTTAGTGCAGGTCCTTGCTGTTGTAGAAATGGAAATGGTCACTAAAGCATAAGTGTGCAGGGGACAAGCTTTAGTTGGGAGTAAGAGACAGCTCAGCTTGGGGAGCAGCTGGAGGGGGTGCTCTGGTGAAGAGGCCTCTCACAAAAGGGTAGGACCGGGACCAGGGTCGTGAACTTAGGCATGATTTCCAAGCTCTGGAGGAATCCTATGGCTTTGGGGCGAGGGCAATTCTGTTCCCATAAAGTGATTTTGGGGGGGCAGTTTCAGTCATATGAGGCTCTAGTGCTCCTAGGACCCAGGTGAGTAATGGATCAGGGATCAGCTGGAGACTTTTTTGGTCACTGTAAGGGGAAGGGTCTAGAACTAGATGTTATAAAGGCTGGTGATGGGAGCTCCCTCTGATCCAGACACTTTAGTCACTCTTATCTTGGTGTCCTCCATCTTGAAGAGGGATGGATGAGATAGGCCAAGTAACTCTAGGGCTAATAAACTTTGCTCTGTCAAGTTTTCCTAAATGAGTAACATATGCCCAAAGTCCTATAGTAATAAAGGACAAAATAAAGGCCAAGCTTTGTTTTATTCTTTATTACCCATTAGTATCTGGAAGCCCAAGTGAAGAGTCAGGCGTTACAGCAAAACCCTCTTTTAAATCTCTGATGGTTTCAGAAGAAAACACAAATCATGTGTAATGAGGGAAAGGCTGAGGGCCCGCGAGTTTGTTTTTTGTTCCTGAAGCAGTCAGTCCCTGACCATGTCAAGTCCACACATAGGAGTTGGCATGTGATGTCGCCACTCTCGGGGACAACCGGAAATGCCACTGCATATCCGCAGAGGCCCAGCGGGACTGACCTCTTAGGCCAGCTCCTGCCCCTCAGTTCACTAAGCTTGGCTTCCTTCCTGGCTGTTCAGCCTTTCTGCCCTTAGCATAGGCTTGCAGGTAGGTACCTAACTGCTTTAGCTGGTTTGTTTCCTTGGCGTCTCTGACAAAAGCAATCTCAGTGCTTCTATTAGACGAGCCATCCTGGGCCCAGAGCCTCCCCGACACAACTGTCAAGCGCTCTCACCCTCCCCTTCTTGGGGATGCTCCAGTGCTGATGGAGAACACAGATGACTGAGCCTCTCTCCCTGCCTGCTTCTGAGCATCTACAGGCAGTTGAGTGCAACAGCTGCAACAGAGCTGCTGGAGCAATGGAGTAGGAAATGATTTTTCAGTTAAATAAACAAAGAAGGAAAGCTCCGGGCTGCCAAAGGCACGCTGCCTCAGTACTGATGCATAGCCAGGCCTGATGCCACAGCTGGGTGCTGGGCGATGTTTTCCCTCCTCGTGGCCGTGGCCCAGGTGAGCATTCAGCAACCAGGCTGCAGCAGAAGAGGCTGTATCTGGCCCCTAATCCCAGTTAATCATCACCAGCTCTGTGGCCTTGGTGACATCTCAATGTCTTAGAATCTTCATGTGCCAATTATGCGGGCTAACAATTGTCCTTATCTTATTGGGTTAAGTATTAAATTAAATATACATATAGTATCTTACATGTAGGAGATGGCTTTCCTTTATTATTAAATGGGTTGGCAACGATAACCAGGCTTGGTCTCCCTCCCAACTCGTTACATCCTCAGCCCATTTATTTATTCAGAGCTCACTAAATTGCCCAGCCTGGCTTTGAGTTGACCATCCTGCTGCCTCAGCCTCCCCAGTAGCTAGGATTATAGGTGTGCATCACCATGCCTAGCTTCTGATCTGCTTGTAACTTTGCTTCCTGCACTCGGGCACCGGGTGTGCTGTTACTTTCTTCAGTGTGAAGCTCTATAACACCCCTCATGCTTTCCCTTCACTAAAACGTCCCAGCAATACCCGGAGGGCACAACAATCTGGCCCCAAAGAGAAAGGCATGAAGACCACTCATGCAACCTGCAGAAGACTTCTAACATTGGATTAGATAAAAGGATTACCCTGAAACTCCTCCAGGAATTTCAGTAAATATTTTGATGATTTACCCTTATGGTTATCAAATTTAGGTTTCTGTCCTTGTCACAAAATTTTGAGACTGAATTTAATTTACCATCATAACCTGTTTTGGTGTTAAGAATGAGTACACACAGTGAAATTTGAATTATGCTGATTGCAACTTAAATGTACTCATTCTAGCATTGCTTTTTAAGATATTAAAGTGAAACTGGATTTCAAAAGATTGTGTTCAATACAGGTTCAGACTTTTCTAACTTTAAGGGTTAGTTAAGGGATAGTTAACAAGCCATTTCCCATCACGTATCAAACGTAAGAATGACTTGATGGAATGCTAGGGTGGTCACTCCTGTCACAACTTGGAAATTCTTTGTGGATCATTCTGATTAGAAAATGAGCTGGGCATAGTGGCACATAAATGTAATCCCTACTACTCAAGAGGCTGAGGCAGGAGGGTCTTGAGTCTGTCAGCCAGGCTTAGTGGGACTTCCATCTCAAAACAGACAGGGGCTGGGGAATGTAATTCAGCTCCAGTGCTTTGCTAACACGCCCAAGGCACTGGATCCAATCTGTGTAGCACCCGGAGTTTAGTAGCATTCCAAAAGCAATGCCCACATATGTGATTTTCAGGACAGTGTAACGAGCACCATCCACATAACTGTACCCACAGGAGTCCTTCCATGTCTGAGTGCTGACTTAACCGGGTGTGTCAATGACAGTTATTTAGGAAATCTGGCATTATGCAAAGGAAGCCCCCAGAGTGATGGCTCAAAAGATCACAAGATTTCGTTTTTGGGCCTGTGGTGTTTGATCCCCCCTACTGAAAAAGAAAAAAAAAGAAAAGATGCAGTTTCTAAATCTGATAAAAATGCCTCTGTTGAACAATTAGAATTTTATACCATATTGCAAACATCAAGTAACACCACAGACATTTTAAAAAAGGAAGTTTATTGGTCTTTAAATGGCTCAAATTGCAAATAAACGAATCGGGTAGTGGCATCAGCCTAAGACATGTGATGCATCTTTGTCAGTTGGCTTCATAGCACCTCAGTACCCAGGAGAGGAAAGGTCTTAAAGCAAAGTCACAATGTTAGTGGTTAGGCCCCCTGGTTCAGTGAGACTGCGACAAGTACACATGGAGAGCACTGGGCCCGCTGCCCCAGTTACAGCGGTAACTTGGATTCTGCACATGGCATAGCATAGGAGAAATACGAAATGAAAGGTGGACATCTCAAACCTTATGGACAGATACTGAACACAACAAGCTGGATGATATCTAAGGAGCTGAGTTCCTAAAGAGTCCATTTTGGATAACTTTACATATACATCTGTTACCTGGAATGCCCGCACACAACTTTGACCTGTGGAAATTAAGTCTGAGCAAAGAGAAATAAAAACCTTGCTGAATCAGCTGCCTCAGTCTCATTCCAAAAAGGAAAAGGAAACGGACAGTGGTGTATTTTCCATTGCAATTATGTTCCCAGAGTGTGCTACAATTCTTCTGGTCGGAACGACACCCAGTGGTGACAGCCTGTTGTCCGGTCTGCGTGCCAAACATGTTTTCTGCACTGTACCTGGGTCTGATTGTTTGCTGCTGACTTTAGGAAAATGTAGCTACAGTGTTCTTCATTATGAACATACACACAAATATTCCTAATAATTCCCCAAAGCCAAACTGTAACCTCATGAGTACAAACTTAGAAACGAATAGTTGGCAAGCACAAATATTTACCGAAGTGTTCTAGTGCAAAATGAATCAGCACTATAGAATAGTTTTCTCTGTGCCCTGTTCTCAGGAGATTAAAAAAAAAAAACTTAATACTTATGTGCTCACCACTTGCAGAAAGTCATTTCTAGGGACCAGCATCTTCAGAGAAAGAAAAAGTACCAAACATAACTGGTGCAGAATCCTTGTGGTCGAAAATTATTTTACAAATATATGCTGGCCCTTCATTTTCAACTAGCACAGCTTATTAAAAGCAATCAAAGAGTTCTGGAACTTTACCTTTTCAAGAACCAGAGTATGGCACACATTTCTGAATTTGGACAGACCGCCGGCAGACAGGAATTTCGCAAGAATCTTTTATATAAAAGCTGCCCTCGATCTAGGCAAGATCAGATCTCTCACCAGGATGCGGGAGGCTGCGAGGAGCCACAGGGGCCCCTGCTACCAGCGAGAACACACCCAGAATGATGTGACCAGATATTTTTCAGTTTCTATATTAAGGCATATTCAAAAATTTCCAACTTGCACAAGTTTTACACCACTTTGCTAAGTCAGTCACCAGGTAATTAATGCAGATTCACAGATGAATTGCTCTCAGTTGAACTATATGCAACAACCATGCCAATACCTTTTTCTATATTTTGCATAACAATGGTTAAAAAAAGGTACAGTTTAGCTATCATGTTCACAATTGTCATCTTTCAAGGCAGTAGAAGACCAAGACATTTTAAAATGATATAAAATTTAAGCTCTATAATAAACGCCAGAGGAAGTGGCCTTTCCTCCATTCCCCACCCCCATTTCATCTCTTTATTTAACAGTTCGAGAAAGACTGCCCAAGAAATACAAGCTCACACACTACATTCAGGACTGTGGTAAATGTAGGCAATTATGAAATAAGTTGAACTTTGCTTCTTGGTGAAGCCACATTAATTTCTTTTTTAAGTGAATCTGACTTTCAGTGCAGTTCCAATTCATGCTTTTAGTGATACATAACAATTTCCAAAATGTTAAAAGTAATTTCAGTCAATTGAGCCTTCGATGGCAATGCTTATAAATTATATTTATTAGTATGGCCGAGATAAGAAAGAAGTTTGGGCTTTGATTATAAAATGCAGCATCTTTCTCTGATTCTCTTGGCTAAACTTTTCCTCTTCTTTTTTCCATTCTTTTCTTTGCTGTCTTCCATCTTTCTGGCTCGAATTTCCCTCATTAAATCAAAAAATACCTAGAAAGAAGAAAGTAGGGTAAGTAAAGCAACCACATAATATGAACTTCATACTTTTCTAAGTCACAGTGGGAAACCCTGGGGACAAGGGAACAATAAACACCTGCGGCCCCTTCCCCGGGCATACGCTCCTGGAAGCAAGTGCTCCGGCCTGTGACACAGCCTAGCTCTCTGCTTCTCCAGCATCTTGAGAAAATGGGGAAACAAGATGCTTTTCCAAATTATACTTTTTGGTAAAAATGTTCATAGAACACTTGATCTTTCTATTCCAGTTTTCAAGATAAAAACATAGAAAGTGCTACAAAGTAATAATAGTGCTAAAGATAAAATTCAATGGATTATTCTATAATCAATAAATGCATTTTCACTCATATTCAATAATTTAATAAATTGTATCAAATAATTATATTTAGTAACTTATTTTCCTCATGTCTAGTTTTAGAAATTCTTAGAAAAGGAGCTGGGGAAGGCAGGTGCTTTCTTTATTATCTTGATACCAGAAACTCTGTTGTACTATATTTGAGAATTAGTCAATTTTTGCCTGATGTCTAGGAATTGGCAAATAATGAGATTAACATAATAACTAAAAGGTACTACTATCACAATTCAAAAGCTGAATTTCAATTATAAATGTTCTCCAACATAGAAGGACCTGGAAGGGTACAAACTCACACTCCAATGAAGAGTCTGTGAGTATGTGTGATAGTGGATGAGAAACTTTTATAGTCCACACTTTTGTATTTTTGATGTTTAAAAATTCATTTATCATTTATAGACTAAAAAGACTAAAAACAAGGATAAAGTCAGACAATAAATGCTCTGAGTTATGAATGATGAGCGCTTTCTAGCCCAACTCTGGTTCTCTAGTGAGCACTGAATGAAAGCAAGGTAGAGAGAGAGAGAGCCGTGTGTGTGTGTGTGTGTGTGTGTGTGTGTGTGTGTGTGTCTGTGTGTGTGTGTAGCAGGATATATGCATCTGCTGATAAAAATGGCAGTGTAAGCCACAAAGCCATAACCAATTTCATTTTCAAGAGAAGAGAAAGCACCAGAAGGGATGGGAGGGTGAATCACTGAACATCCCTCATCATATAATCTCTAATTTGGAAACATAAACTCAAATTGAAACAAGTAAAGACTGACTGTATTCCAAGTTGGTGACATAATCAGGGAGAGGAAAGAATTATTTCAAGGGTGTTTGAAACACAGCATATGGAATCCTCATGTTAGCACAGATAAATAAATAACAAAATCCCCATAAAAATACTTCCAGGTAATGCAAGTAAGCAATTGTGTTAATGTGGTGTAGGAACCAAGACTCCCAGTGCAAGAGGAAAGATACACAGATAAAAATCAAAGAGGTAGAAACTGAAAAGCTAAATTTGAGGCAGAAATAACAATAGGAGCTGATGAGATTTTTTTGTTTGCTATTTGAGACAAAGTCTCTCTGTGTCTCAGGCTGGCCTTCAACTCATCCTTCCTAGGCCTCCTGAATATTGGGATTCTAGATGTGTGACACTACACTTGCTTTAAAAAAAAAAAAAACACAAAAAAGTCTTTTCTACCACTTTTCTCTAAATTGTCCACAAAGAAATGATGACCCAAATGCGTGAATCTTGATCTGCATCAAGAAATATAAAATTTAGGTCAGCAAGTGAAAACATTATCAAGGACTAATGGACTGAGTAAAACAAATACAAGACCAACAGGAAGGGGAAAAATGGTTAAAGAAGGGGAAAGTGAACACACACACACACACACACACACACTCTCACACACAACAGATTGCAACACAGTGGTGATGTAAAACCCATGAGTTCCTGCCCCACATATCGGAAAAGGGATTTGAAGACCTCTGCCTCATGCTGGTGTTGAGCTAGAGCTGGAAGCCTCCAACCAAGTAAATGTATCTTTCTGAGTATTCCCAGGACGGCTTTCTAATGCACATATCCCACTATGAGAAGGATATTATAAGAAGCCTTCATTTCTAATTTTTATGAGTCTCTGCAATAAACTTCCAATGTATCCCTGTTAGAAACCACCAAAGTCATTTAAACTAGAAAATATAGTGGGAAACTTTTAATGTCTGAGTCAGCAAATTTAATGAATTAAAGCTACGACTGCCAAGTGAAGGAAACAGGGAACTAAAGACAGGAATAAAGCACTGGTTTTGAGGAACCAGTCCCCTTGAGGGCAAACTATGGTCCCCTAAGCACTGGGCTTCCTCCAACCACTTTCAAATGACTTCTCTCCCTCTTTCCTTCCCAGCCTCTTCCTCTTCTCCAGTCTTACTCTTTCTCTTTTCTTACATTAGGGCAACCTGGTATGTACAAAATTTGGCTTTTCTAATTCTGAGCATAGGAAATCCTTCCTCTTCTCACACAAACCAAAATAAAAAACCAGAAAAAAAACAAATATATGAGTTCATAATGCAGTCAAATGCATTAAGGATCTCTTATAGAAAACAATAAAAAAGAAAGGAAAAAGCTACATAAATTTTTGGAAAAGTTTAGAGTAGTAGGAAGCAAGCCAGAGAACTCAGAAATTACAAAGGAAAACTCCACCATATTTGACATTATCTGTAATGTCTTTCCACGGCAAAAGACAAAATAAGCCAAGTGAAAAGAAATGAGGCAGATTAAGGAGACAGAATTTACCACAGACATAAGGGACAAAGGTTAAACTTAATGTAAACCAGACTTATGAATCAAAAAGATAAGGAAGCCAGGAGCTAGTGGGCAGAGGAAAGGTTAGGCCGAAGAATCAGCCAAAAGACATGCAGCCCTGGCCATAGTTAGGGAATGTGGAACAGTACTTTGCTCATCTTACTGATGATTTTATTTTATTTTTTTGGTACTGGAGATTGAACTCAGAACCACGTGCTTGCGAGGCAGGCGGTGGAACACTGAGCTAAATCCCCGGCCCTCTTACAGGTGATTTTTAAAGGCTGATTGAGTTGGGGCTGGCAAAGCTGTGTGGAAAGGACTTCCATGCACACAGCTGGCTGGACCTGGGGCAGCCTTCTGCAGGGCAACTGGTTATGGCAACATTAAAAGGCACTGGGATCTTTCTCTTGTGTGGTTGTACACACACAGACGTCACTGTAGTGTTGTTTGTAATAAAAAAATGATAAACAACCAAAATGCCATTAATAGGAAAATGATCGAGTTATAGAAAAGCCTAACTATGTAACAGTCTGTAGATTTTAAAAAGAATGTGGGAACATTTATATGCAATGGTATAGAAAAGTTATGAGATTTATTTGTCATAAAATCTAAAACACAAACCAGAAAACACACACATACACACACACACACACACACACACACCCTATGAACAAAAAATAAGCAATTTCTTTAACACCTGGATTAGCAATGGTTAGTGCAAGAAGGAACGAGTGTAGAGTAAGGGCAGAAAGTGATTCCCCTCACTTCTCCTTCTTATATTTGGTGGTCAAGCTTAATTATGTCAACTTCATTGGCTTGGAGCCTCCTAGGGGGTTACGAAGCTGTGACCTTGGTTACTGTATTTGGTCCTTTTGCCCTTCCTCTCTGTCCCTTCTGGCCCTGTTCTCCTGCTCTGCTTCCTGGCTCACATGAATTAAGTACCTCTGCTCCACACCATTTCACCAGGATACTTCCCTCCTGCAGCCAGCTATCCACGGACTGAATCCCCTGAAAATGTTAACCAAATTAAACTCTTTTCCTTTAAGTTGTAGGTGTCAGACACTGTATTCCAGTGACAGGAAAGCTGAATAATATATTATACTTCAGTGTTACCAATTTTTCTTTACATAATAAGCATTATTTGTGTATTACTTATACAATGAAAAATAAAGTAATATTTTAAAAAAAGTACAGCACATATCTACTAAAATGCTTTCCCCACTGGACATCTATTTGCTCAACTTAATTCACTCTGCCAAGACCTTCCTTAAAACCAAGAGGAACCCTGCAGTTAAGGACCAGAGCATTTAGCTGGATGGGTGCTGACAAAGCTGTGGAGGGACCTATGAGTGCACACACAGTTTACCCAGGTCCTCAGGGCTGTGGTTAGGACACTTTTCACACAGGGCATTTGGAACCTGTCTTTGGAACTTCCATCCACTGGCCTGTTTGGTAAGCAAATGAGATTAAAGAACGAATCCAGTATTCTGTGGGGAGCCAGTCTCTGATCACAATTCAACAGGAGACAAGACTGACACTTGCAGACCCTGAAAATTCACAATCATGTTTCTAGAAGTGGATGACGTACAATATGAGGGACATGACAAGCTACCCCAGCTGTCATTTTGAGTAAAAGAGTGATGAAACGAGAGCACAGAAGTAGGCCTGATGCCACCACCAACCCTGTGACCTTGCAGCAGTTATGAATTCTCTCCATGCCCGTTTTCCCACCTAGAAGTGAAAACACTGAGACCATCTGTGCCTCATGCATTTGAGGACTAGTTAGTGGCTGCCACAGTACCCAGTTCTTGCAAGATCTAATAAACAAAACATTAACTCTATCAGCTATTATATGACTTCTTCAGCAAAAACCCCAAATATAATCTAATTCTAGAATTGCTTAGTTACTATGGGTTAAATTTATATAGCCACTGGGGTGCTTTACCTGTAGCTGCTCTGCAAGGCGCAGCTGTATGAATTGCAGGTTTCAGTACACTGCACCTCAGTTTACAAGCAGCCTCACCTAATGTCATTCTGTTGTGGAGAAGTGGCCCACTGACTGCAGACCGTCTCCCAAAATGGCTGCAGCAGCATTTCCTATGTGGATTTGAAGAATCTTGATATTCTTGATCAAGAGGCAGACTCTATTCTGAACCTTCTTCCTGAACCAAGGTAGGGTTTTGTTACTACTCTGAACAAAAGCATGCAGTTGAAATAATGCTGCATTGAGAGGTTAGGTCCTAAAAGCAGTATGTTTTCTGCCTGGTCCTTATTCTGCTGTGACACTTGCCTAGGAGCTCTGCCACTGTGCTGTGACAGATTTAGCATACATGGAGAAGGTCATATGGCAAGGAACTGAGGCATCCCTGGTAACAGCTGGAATCAACTCATTGAGAAAGACAGGTGAGAATAAGCCTTTAGAACCTATTTAGAAATTTCCAGTGCACTGACTTGAAGATTTTCAGCAATGGCACCAGACATTATGCAATAGAGATGAACAATCTCCCGTGCCCTGTTCAAACTGCTGGCCACAGAATAGACGGTGTATTTTGTTATACAGCCACTGTACTTTTCTTCTTTTGAGAAGTAATACATGTAAGTGGAAAAAAGTTCAAACAAAGAAATCTACAAGGGTATTTACAGTAAAATGTGCCCATATGTGTAACTTAGCTATCTGGTGATGACCACAATTACCTGCCCGCATACATCCCTAGAATGTGTACAGGCACATGAACGAGTACATACCTAAACACTGCTAGTAGCAGACGAGAGGTACTCATATGTGCCCTGCTTTTTTCACTCACTTATGTTGAAAATCATTTCTTATCAGCATATTTAGTTCAGTCACCACCCTCCAACTTTATTCGTGGTACTGGGGATTGAACACAGGGTTTTTGTACTGAGCTACATCTCTACCTTTTTTAAATTTTCAGATAAGGCCTAGCTAAGTCATTAAATTGCCTAGCTTGACTCAGACCTGTGATTTTCCTGCCTCAGTCTCCCTGAGTGCTGGAATTTTAGGCATGTGCTCCCATGTCTGGCTCTACCATTCCTTTTTAATGGCTGAGTACTATTCAACTACATGGCCACACTATACTTCAAACCAATCCATTATAGGATGCTTGGATATCTCTAGTCTTTTGTGCCTATAAATACTCCTTCAATGACTATCAGTGATCACACATTATATTTGAGTATACGGTTTTTCTGTTGTTTGGCTGTAACTGTAACGCAATTGTTATAATCACTTATATTGCTCTGCCACTATACTTTGTTTTTCTATACTCTTGCTGACAGTGTTATGATCATCCTCTTTGCTTTTACACCATGGGGCAGGCTAAAAAAGAACAAGCCATTATATTTTAAAATTATTATTTCCTTTTTAAAAGTAAGGTTGAGCTTCATTTCAAGTTTAAAAGCCTCTGCATTTTCTGTAACATGTATGTATGTTTGGACCATTTCCCAATGGTCATCTTCTGGCCCTGTGAGAGCTCTGATCATGCACACCACTGCTCTTCTCAGGGCCTTGGAGGGTAGCAGGTGACTACCACAAAGGCTGTGCCCACACCTGCTTCACTGCTTATGGGCAGTACCTCCTGTCTCTCTTCTGTGTCTGCCTTAGTTTAAGTCATTTTTATAGTGTGTTCTGGGCTGGGGATTTAGCTCAGTGGTTCTGCCGCCTGCCTCTCAAATACAAGGTCCTAAGTTTGATCCTGGTACCAAAAAAAATAAATAAATAAATAAATAAATTTTTTTTTATACAGTGTGTTGTACAATCTGCTCAAAACATCCAACCAGGAAGAAACAATATATATGTGCTATGGTAATGTTCAATGTGGTCCTTCAAAATGCCAAATACACTTTTTAAAAAAAATTTTTTGAGACAGGGTCTTGCTATGTAGCACAGGTGGGCTTCAAATATGTAGCTCAGACTGACCTCAAAATTGTGGCCCTCTAAGGGCCAAGGATTTAGCTCAGTGGCACCATGCCAGCCTTGCAAGTGCTGATCCCTGGTACCAAAAAAACCCAAAAAATAAAAAAACAAAACAAAACAACCTGAGGCCCCCCTACCTCAGTCTCCCAAGTAGTGGGATTATAAGTGTGTGCCATCATATTTGGCTCCAAACATACTTAATTTTCATAAGTAAGTATTTGAAAAAAAAAGTTTTCCCTAAACACAGAGAAAGCCAGTATGTTATACAAAGAAGAAATCTGGCCAGGGATTTAGCTCAGGGGTTCAGTGGCCTGCCTTGTAAGTGCAAGGACCTGAATTTGATCCCCGGTACCGAAAAAAAAAAAAAAAAAAGGAAATCTGGTAGTGTCATTTTGTACAGGTATCTTGGACTATGTGACTAAAAAATTAAGCAGGTAAGCCACAATGACACTGTTTTGAGACCTACAGCAGATGGACCCACTTCCTGGATCAGACCAGTAGAGCTACAGGTACAAGCAGACCTGTCCACAAACACCTGAGGCCCCAGATAGTGTGACTCCAAGCATGGTCCATGAGTGCACAGAGTCTGCATCACCTGAAACGTGCTAGGTAGGACTCCAATTCTGAGGCCCCATCCCAGACTGACAGAAGCAAAATTTCAGGGGCAAGGTCCAAGACTATGTGTTCATCAAGATTTCCAGGTGACAGTTTGCACACTGGAGGTGGGAGCCCGGCTCATCCTGGGGATTTCCAGCAGCACCTGGGGAGCTCCTGAAAACTTGGCAGGACTTCACAGACCCCAGGAAGGCTCTGCATGACATTGGAAGATAAGAGGGCAGGGAGATGATCCTCCTTTCCACTCCAAGGGGAAATAAATGCAGGCCAAAGTGAAGCAATGTTACTGTGGTAAGAGATCTTAACATCCTCTCCTCTGGGGAGGATTGCTTCATCTTTCTTCCTTCTCCTCCGTCATCTTTGGAGCCATGTTCACTTCTGAGAGGTTAAACAGGTCCTGGCAGGCGCCAGGCCCTCAGGGAGGCTGATCAGGGCTGGCATAACACAATCCCGTCTGAAATATGGAGCCCCACCAGAGTTTGAGAAAAGCCAGGAATGTCACCAATGCTAAAAACAAAAGTACATTTTGTTGTAGTGTCTCATGTTTTAAAGTCCTCTGGGAAGCTGGGAACAAGAAGAGATTCCCAAACATGCTGTACTTAAGCATTCAGGGATGATAAAAAGCAACAATTATTAAGTTTCTATTTGAGTCTCAGCCTAGACGAAATGGAGATGAGCTGAAGCAAATGAACCCATCTTTAACAGGACGCAGTGATAATGGGCGCTGTGTTTACCTTGTCCACGTTAGCTCGCGTCTTCGCAGATGTTTCCACATAGTTCACATTCCACTGATCGGCTCTGTTTTTTGCCTCTTCTACTGAAACCTGCCTTTTATCTTCTAAATCTGACTTGTTACCAACCAGTAGAAAAGGAACATTTTCATCTTCCTTTACTCTTAAAATCTGCTCCCTGGACAAGGGAAAATGAGGGAGAAATGTTAATAGGCTTCCAGGTGTTAAAATAACAAGAACTAGTCACATGCAATCAGCATTTATTTGTTAATTGTTTATTTCTAGACAGCAACTACAGGCTCATCTATTACATGGTAGAAAAGAAATACTTCTTCCGTCAGTTATTTGGGATATACATTCAGCTCAGTAATGACAGAAAACCACACCAACAGGGGAACATAACATGGAGATGAGGTGCAAAACAAGTCAAATGCAACTTCCTTTAAATACTTTTTTCAAAAATAAACCCTTATTTTGGAGGAGTTAGTTATATGTGTATGTATTCATGATAGCGTCTTGCTTTGTAGTTCAGGCGGAACTCATGTGATCTTCCTGCCTCAGCCTCTTGAGCGCTGTGATTACAGATGTACAGTATCACGCCCAGCTTTGGAAGAGTTTTACATTTATAGAAAAGCTAAGAAGATGGTACAGAGTTCAGGTTTCCCCATAGTAATATCTTGTATTAGTGGGGATGCGTATATCACAGTGAATGCACCAATCCACAATACAGCATTATTCAAGTCCAAACTTTATTCAGGCATTCTTAGTTTCTACCTGATGTTCTTTCTTCTATTGCAGGAGCCCATCTAGGATTCCATGTGACATTCAGTCTCCTTAGACTGCACACACCTGTGACAGTTCTCAGCCTTCCCTTGTTGATGTCCCTGGCAGTTTTGAGGGCTGGCTAGACAGTTTGCAGAATATCTCTCAGCACAGATTTGCAGAATGTTTTTCTCATGATTAAACTGGGTTATGGGTTTTTGGAAGATGATCACAAAGTTAGAGAGTGACATTGTTATGTCATATCAAAGGTCCCACAATGTTTTTAAAAGCCCCAAAATATGGCAGAAATTACTGGAAATAGCTCCAGAGCAGGCTCTGCATTTAGAGGTAAGTTATGTACTGTAAAAGTGGCACCAATATTAAAGTACCCTGGCTCTTACTCTTCATGTAACTGAGCAAAGTCCTTCTTTGCATCAGTTTCCTTACCCATAAAATGAGACCAGCATCACCCTTCCTTATATAGTTGCTATGAAGATTAAATGTAAAATGCTTATGATTATGTGTGGCACACAGTGAATATTCAGTAAGTTTTATCTGTTGTCATGATTATCTAGAGGAAGAAATTTATTTACTGTCTTGCTATGTTACCCACATCTTGCCTTTGAAATTATTGAGAGGCTGAAAGATTAATATTAGTATTTTTAAAGAGAAATATGTGAAAATTAACGGACTATTTGAGAGGCAGTTCTACAAAATACATTTGATTTTTCCATGCTCTTATGCTGATGCTTGAGAGACTGGGTCAAAATCATCATCACAACTTATCTTCAGGCTGGTTATTTGAGTTCCTTAGGCAGCATTTCCTGAATACCACCCATGACCACCACCATTACCAAGAACATGTGACTCTACTTGCCACGGGCCAAGCACTGAGTGGAGTGCATTATATATACTGTCTCACCCTAAACCTGTGACACTAGTGCTACTTACTATTCTTACTCTACAGGTAAGGAAATAGAGACACACAGAAATCACATTAACTTGCTCAGTCATGATTAAGTACAACTAGGACTTAGACCTAAGTAATCTGACACTAGAGAACACATGCAACTTTTATTCTAGGTACCTCAAAGCTTCCCATATGAGGTACATCTAAGGGCACCAATACTGAAGAGAAAGGCTGTTTCCCAACACTTCTTCACGAGAAGCGACCCTATTTGTGATATGTAATGAGCACTGGGTTCTGGCACCACAGGGAGATTCTCCATGTCATATGCACTTCCCCACATGGCAAGGCTACAGCCTGGTTCAGGGGGTTGTCCTTGTTATAGTGATCAGAAAGTGCTGATCACATATGGACATTTAACCTTTCAGAAAAAAAAGTGTTTTAAAATAATGTTTCTACTGAGGGTTGGAATCATTACTAACAAAATAAACTGCTATTATAATGTCACAGGGTATTTAAAGTATAACTTTAAAATGCATAATATATTTAAAAAAGTAGAGGAAAAGACTATACTTTAAATAGGAAACATAATGTATTTCATTTAAAGACCATGAAATGTGGTGGCCATGTGGTTTTATAAAAGAATCATCATCTGTTTAGTAAGAGCTGGTATAGCATCACTATTACACTCAGGCATGTAGACGCAGGCCTCCCGCGTTTCAGCCTCTGCTGGTCCTGACTGCAAGATCTGGGAGAAGTCACTTAGCCTCTCTGTGTTTCAGTTTTATCACTAAAAATTTGCATAATACTTTTAAAAAATCAAATTTAAGATTTCGCTAACTGTAAACTTTATGTACTATCTAGAAAAACTGCCAATAGTAACAACTCTAAGAGGCCAAGACACAGCCCTGACGCTGAGAAACGCTGACATGTAAAAAATCTGTATCTTAGAATCCAAACAGCATCCACTGTACAGGGCTGTGAGATGAGTGAGTTTGTTCACACGACCGCTTGGAGCAGGGTCTGGCGCATGGTAGGTCAGTGCAAATACTCGGTAGTACCATTGCTTGCATTACTACTTCAGTCACCTGGTTACTGACACACAGCAAATGCTAACAGACTCAGTGCATGTAGTATGTTCTCTGCACCTGAATTTCTCAGTTCCAACATGTACAGAGTGTGGACCACACAAGCTCACTGCCAACTTTCATGATTTGCACTTTTAACAACCTTTTGAAAAACAAAAAGGCTAAAAAGTATGGTATGTGGGTATTGTATGCTAAGCTTACAGTTATATGGAGCTATGAGGTTTCCTACCATTTACATGCTTTCTTGCAAACATAGTGGTACCTTGATTCATGAACTTAATTTTTTCCATGAATCAGTTCTCATCCAACTCAGTTTGTGACCTGTGGTAAGAATTAAGTTCATGACCTGAGATGCCACTCAACACTCACCATTACTGCTATTACATTCATAATGTACTTGTGAAGGAATTTTAGCCAATCACAATCTTCTTCCAGGCCTGGAAACAACCAATTTGCTATGATTTTCTTACCTAGTCTCCTTCACGATTGGTTACCCGAACTAAGATTTTAAAACTGACTTACCACTCAGTCTCACTAAGCAGTGGGAGGATGATGTGACCCAGCACTTCTGGTCAAATGTAGGTATGCTCACTTGCTCATTCTTTAATAAATACTTCCTGAGCTACTCTTAGACACTATATAGGAAGACCAAACCTGAAATCATAGTGTAACCAGCACTGTTAGAAACATGACTTTGGAGAACCTGGTCATACTGGTCAGTGCTGAGAAGACAAGATTTTGTACTTTCCCAGATGTCAGGTAATGTACTGCTATGTCTATAAGCATCATACACATTTTGCTTAATGTTATGATCCCTTTAAAATACAGTTTTAGCCGGGGATTTAGCTCAGTGGTGCTGCCGCCTGCCTCGTAAATGCAAGGTCCTGAGTTTAATCCCCGTACCAAAAAGCCAAAAAAACAATAAACAAGCAAACAAACAAACCCCAACAGTTTTAGAAGCTATTGTGAAATTTTAGAATACAAATTTCCTTTATAATCTCATCCACCTTCACTTTACCAGGAAAAACAGATACAAACCAAGCTCAGTGTTAAGAGTGTGGTGAGATAACCGGAGCTGTAGCAAACACTGACTGCGTGCAGTCAGGTGAGGGAGCGAGGGATCTGCCTTGGTGACAGAGAAGACCAGCAAGGCTAACACGAGGAGCCAGCATATCATGGAGCTGCAGGTCAGACCACATGGAGCGACTACTGAAACCATTCAGACCTCCTCAGAAGTGTCTTTCACACTGCTGGTGAGTCACCAGGGCCATTTTTACTTACGGGAAGGGCAACACATTGGAGGTACACAAGAAGACTAATGAATCATCCTTATTTTCTGTAACAGTAATAGCTCAAGCTTCCCTCTCTTAGTATAAAAATATCTTATTCTCTTGAGATATCACTTTGGCTTTAGTAACTATGGTGACAAAATTTATTCCATTACCTAGAACAGGACCTGCTACACAACAAACTCTCCTATACTTGCTGAATGAATGAATAAGCACTCACACTTCTATAATAGAACATGACTCCTGGGTTTACAAGGTACCAGGATCTGCCACCCTTTGCGCTGTATGATTAGGAAATTCCTTCCATTTAGAAACCAACAAACTTAGGATAACAATAAATCTGCATGTTAAAATTTCTTAAGGATACTTTAAGTAAGGAATGTTCTCTTAGAATCCTGTTAAGTCTTCCAAGTGCACCTAGAAAGGAATGCTCTGCATAAGCCCCATTTCATGTTTTTGGTCAGCCACCTAAAATGCCTTCTTTTCTCAACTGTGCCCTCATTCTCTTCTTCAGGCTCAACTACGGGTGAAGGCTTCCAAACTCCTTTTTCCCCATCTGGGTCCTGTAGATAATGATTGCAGCCAGTGGCTCCTTCTTTGTCCCATCCTGGTTTTGCTTACGTGCCTTATATATTCAACTAGGGCACATAAATCTTGAAATTAGAGGATATTATTGGTACTTCTGTGTCCCCATAATCAAAGCAGATATATACATCCCTATCCCATCCAGCCTCTTGGAAAGCTCGCATACCAAGGACTCTCTGGGAGCCCCGTCTCAAGACTACTCAAGAACTTTATGCCAAGTTTCTCTTATGTTTTTGAAAAGAAAGCACTCTTCCATTTATCACTTCCCCTTCTCCAAACCAAAGTGATGCCAGGTTCGGATTAAACAAACAATAACTAAATATACTGTATAACACAACCTAGTGTATATTCAGTACATTCTTTTTTTTAATGCAGGGCATCTGCACTGTGAAGAGGGTGGGAATTTGCCTACGGAGTACTACACTGGGGCTCAGAAATCAATGATTAATGTCTGGGAGAGCTCCATGACATGGTGCAATTATTAACTACCACGACACCAGAGGCACTCTAAGAGAAGTATTTCAGTAATGCATAGAGGGGCTTAGGCTACCTGAGGCTGCCACAAACTCAGGTTGTAAAACAGCTGGCACTAGGAAGGCTGTAAAGTTGTGTAAAGCATCTGGAAAATGAACACAATTAGAGACAGAGTAAATGACTAACAAGCAAGAGGCTCCCACTGTCTGTGTTTCTGGGGAAGAACTGCTGGGCGGCACGTCACGAACAACATACCTGAAGTCAGCGGTGGCTGCAAAGGATTCCATTTCTGTAATAGAGAAGACACAGAGGAAGCCCTCCCCGCTCCGGAAATAGTTGTCTCTGATTGCAGCATAGTCCTCCTGCCCAGCTGTATCCAAGATATCGATCTGCACTTCCTCCCCATCCAGCACGACCTTCTTCCTGTAGCTGTCTGCTTTGGTAGGCTCATAGTCCTCCACAAACTGGAAAACAATGTAAGACACACCCATTTTCTCATTAACATTTTTACTTGTCAAAACTTATTTTGAAATCATTACAGATTTCACATAAAGGCCAAAATAATACAGAGGTCCATGTGCTCTTTACTCAGTTTCTCCAAAGAAAATGAACTTTTCACTTTCATTGTAGATAATTAGTCAGCTTCCTTATTTGCAAAAAGAGGGGCCTCAACTATTAACTGAAGGCTGTTTACAGCTTGAAAATCACGTCTTTTTCTTTTCTAAAACATTGTATATGCAAAATATTATACACATATTTTATCAAATTTACGAGAACTGCTTTCTATGTCAATCTAAACATACAGTTGTGTGCCAGAACTGTGGAAATACCTTAGGGGTCAATATTAAGGAAAACAATGAAAGTATCATTAACTCTTTTCTTTCTCCAAGATATCACTTCTACGGGAACCAAGTCAATAAAGTGATGTACACGACTCTGTAGAAGGTCAAATCTTGACTTTGAGATTTCCTCCCAAACTGTAGAATTTTAAAACATAATTAAGAAACTTTACATTCCCACTCTTTTCACCAATTCCACAAATATGACATATGTTGAAGAACTTTCTGACATCACTGTTAGCATATATACATGAACACACACACACACACACACACACACACACACACACACACACACACACACACACTTCTAGTTCTTGTATATACTTCTATTATCTGATATTTTATTTATTTGCTTAATTTGTATAACCCACTACAAGAACTGCACCCCTTAGAGCAAGGGCCTTAACTATGCTACTCATTATTTTATCTCCAAGGTCTAAAACAATGTCTACTACACGGTAGACACTCATAAATAATTATTTTTAAATGTTCAGAGAATTTCTGTAACTGTAGAAATCACTCAACAGTGCACCATATTTATATGCTCACACTGTGTTTAACCATTCATCCAAAGTTGAACATGTGACTGTTTTTTTTGAAACATGTGACTTTTTATTTTGGACTTCCTTCTTGTTAAGAAGGGGACTGACATAAGGATCAATTTGAAAGAAGACTAGCTACCAAGTGAATAATATGGACAACAGAACTGAATGAATGAATCAGTAATTTCATTTAAATTACTACTTCAATCTGCCCTTCCCCCCAACTTTCTATTACAGTTACTGACAAGTAGGACAACTGGCGGATTTGAGGGCCTGGGGTGTGTGGGAAGTGTGCAGGCACAGAAAAACTCAGCACAATAAAAATCCGCAGGGTTTCCCCCACCCCAGAAGACTGGGTTTAACATTTAGTTATTTATTAGAGATCATTTTTTTTTTTGTACCAGGGGTCGAACTCTGGACCTTGCACTTGCGAGGCAGGCTGTGGCACCACTGAGCTAAATCTCTGGCCTGTAGAGATCATTCTTCTTGGGTGAGGTGGGTAACATCTCTGAGATTCTGTTTTCTTTTCTGTTAAATGAGGATGATAGCACTACTTACCTTGCAGGATTGTTATGAGGATCAACAGAGAGAACACTGTAACCATAAAACCTGGCTAATGAGAGGAAAAACTGAGGGTATTTAAGACTATCAATTTTCTTTTAAAATAATAAGCATTCCTTTATTGACTGACTGACATTACAAAAATAGATTATATTAGCAATGAAACTGTCTTGAGTTGATATCTGAAGCAGTTTTTCCTAAAAGCTTAAGTAAAACAGTGTACAATTCTTAATCACTAAGACTTGGAAGCAGTTCTCTAGGGAAAGAATATACTGCTGAATAATGGCTGAGACCTTAACTCAAGGATAATAAAAGTCTGACATAAATACATGCATATACATATGTAATTTGTCTAACAATTACAGTTTGTAGTGACATGGCCTTCAACCGTTCAATGGTGAGCATAGTGCTACACCAAACAACACAACAAAGAACTGACGTTTTCACTGAGGTTATTAGCGAACATGTTATATATGTTAACCTCATCTCAATTAGGTTCTATGTCCACTAGTTTTATTACTTTGAGGTGGGAATCTACATTAAAACACTAGAAATAAAACTGAAGTTAGTTTACTCAAAAAATTGGTAACTTTCAGTTTTATTTTTAAAGCCTAAGGTTTTTAAGGATCTTGAGTTCTGAATTTGTTTTGTTTAAATTAATTTCATTGGTACCTTTTATTTTATTCTTAAAATTTAATTTAATTTTACTTTTTTGGTACTGGGGATCGAACTCAGGACCTTGTACTTGCGAGGCAGGCAGCAGCACCACTGAGCTAAATCCCCAGCCCCGTTCATTCATTCATTCATTCATTCATTTATTTATTTAGGTACCGGGAATTGAACTCGGGTCCTTGCGCTTGCAAGGCAGGCCACTGAACCACGGAGCTAAATCCCCGGCCCCGTACATCATAAGGAATTTGTACATAATATATCTTGATTTTTTATCCCCCTCCCCTCTCTTCAACCTTTTTCTTATTTATAAAAGATTTGTTTCCATTTTTTTCTACTCTTTTTTTTTTCCCTTCCTTCTTTTCCCCCTCCCCACTTCCTTGTTCCTCTTCCCATGTGAACATTTTCTTCCTATTTATCCATTCATCTGTTAATGGGCATTTGGGTTGTTTCCAAAATTTACCTATGACAAACTGTGATGCTATGAACATGGGTGCACATTTACAGCCGTGGTATGATGCTTTTAATTCTTTTGGGAAGATACCAAGGGGAATAGCTGGGTCAAATGGAACTTCTACTTGTAGTTTTTTGAGGAATCTCCACAATGATTTCCACAGTGGTTGCACCAGTCTACACTTCCATCAACAGTGGAGAAGGGTTCCTTTTCCCTCACAGCCCCACCAGCATTTTTCATTGGTTGATTTCTTGATCTCAGCCATTCTTTCTGGAGATAGAATCTCAGTGTTGTTTTAATTTGCACCACTTGAATGACCAGTGATGTTGAACATTTTTGCCTATATTTATTTGCCATCTGTACTTTTTCAACTGAGAAGTGGCTATTCATTTCAGATGCTCATTTTTGGAATGGTCTTTAAATTTGGAGGGGTCTGATTTTTTCTAAGTTCTTATTCTAGATGTTAAGTCCTTTGTCTCAGGAACAGGTGGCAAATTTTTTTTCCCCACTCTGTGGGTTCTCTCCCCTCCCCTCTCTTTTTCTTTTCATTCCTTGGTACCGGGGATCGAACTCAGCACCTTGCACTTGCCAGGTAGGCATGGTGCCACTGAGCTACATTGCTGGACCTGTTAATGGCTTCTTTTGCTGCGCAAAAAGCTTTTTTATTATGATGAGATCCCAGGTCTTTGTAATTCTTTGTAATATTTCCTGTACGATCAGAGTTTTGTTCATAAAGTCTTTGACTACACCTGTCTTTGAGAGTTCTACCTGCTCTATTATCCAGCACATTTAGTGTTTGCTGTTTTAACATTTAGATCCATTTTGATTTTAGTTTATGGTGGAAGATATGAGTTTGGCTTTAATCTTTGGCATGTGGAATGACAGTTTCCCCAGCACCAATTATTAAAGAAGATATCTTTCTTCCAGTGAAGGTTTTTGGCCCCTTTGTCAAAGATGAGGTGGCTTAGTGTGTTGGGAGTTGTTCAATTCATAAAATCAAATTAGGTACAGATGTTGGCTCAGAACTTCAAAATGGAAAAACATATTACCAGTAGGATGCAAGGAATCCATCCCAAACAGTGCCAAACCTAAGTTGGAGAAATGTCCTCTCAAAGCCCAAACTGTGATTCTCATTGTGCGGGTAGCACTTACCTCATCATACATGAACTGCAGTGTCAGGGCCGACTTGCCCACACCACCGCTGCCCACCATGATGACTTTGTGTAGGGCCAAAGAGTTCTGACCCTTGGGCTTATTTGCAGCCATCCTTTCTCACAAGTATTTCACCAGAGGCTCAAGGAAAATCTACGAGGAATGAAAGAATAAGTAATGGTCAGTAAATTCTTCTTCAGAATTCCAGTACAGGAAAGAGATATGTCATCCTTAGGGTTCAGAACAGTTTTCACTCTGTGGTGATGGCAAACAGATGGCAAGTGAAGTACACTCACTGAGGGGAAGAATGCTTATCAGAGAATCAGAATGGCTGGCAAGGAAACAAGCAGATGACTCGAGGGCATTTCTCTTATAACAGTTTCTGTAATGAGCTGTGACCAGATGGGAAAATTTCCCAGTGCAACCGCAAGCTGGCAATAATGGGGGATTGCTGCAGAGGAATATATTCACACGAATTATGAAAACAGGCTTAAGGATCATTCTATTCATATTAACCTATGCTGGCAATATTCCGAGTGATGCTCCTTCTAATTTCAGGATGAAACAGATGACCAAAGACTATGCCTTATGCTAACGTCCTCAATGAAAGGCTTGCCATATTACAAAACAAACATTATCCCAATGACTTGGTATCAGAATTTGAAATAGAATCCAGCATTGTACACCACACAATGAAGTATTACCAGAACATCTGTGTGCACTGGGTGTATAGCCATCGAACCTAAATACTTAGATTGAATCAAACATGCATTTAATTTTTTTTTCTTTGTCTTATGGGAATTGAACCCAAGGTGTTTGTACTGAGCTACAATTCCAGCCCTTCTTTATTTCCAGACGACAGGGTCTTGTTATGTTTTCTGCCTCAGCCTCCCAGTCTGGGATTTGAAATACAATCCAAATTCTATTTCAGCTAAATCCAAACCTGTGACGAGGACCAGGTTCCTACTGAAGCAAAAGTGGTGTTGGGCACTAATGGCATCCAGTTACCTGCCCTGGTACCAGCTTTAGAAAAATCAAGGTTGTGAGGTAACAATGAATACTCTCTGTGTAGGGAGACTTTTTGCCATGTACCTTCTTCCTCTCTGACACAGCTTCCTAAGCAGCAACTCACAGGACCACACCCCATCCTGTTTCCCACTGGTACAGGTCTCCTGTTCCTTAGATCTCTTCTCTGCCTCTTGGCCTTTGCCATGTAGTTTCCTTTCTGGCATATTCTTATTCTATCTCGCCAACTCTTCTCAGTTTTTGGGTCTTAGCTTACCAGACATGTTTAATGAAAATTAGACTTGCCCCTACCCTAGTTCTCAGAGAAAATCTGATACTTTTCATTTATAGCCCTTTCACAATCTGAAATTGCTTGAGTGTGTAATTGTTCAACTTGGGGGTTCTCTAGTACAGTTTAGCAGGAGTAGCGTGGGTGCTGGAGCCATGTCTGTCTGGTTTACCTTATGCTGGATGTAACTGAATGCTTGCAGACAGACTCAACCCTGGGGAATGCTACACCTAACGAGTATAAAGCAACTACTGGAGATCAGTCACGAGGAGGAACCAGGACAGTCTGCACAGATCTGTGCCAATAGGGCATAGAGCATTGGGCGCTGCTTCAGACCTCACCCAGAAATCATGCCCGCTGGACCATCTGCCCAACACAAAACAGTTTTCAAACAAATAAAAATAAGTCACACCCTGCCACCAATTTAACAACAGGAACACGTTAACTGTACTTCCTTTGAGAGTGCTTGAACTTTGTATTTAGCATAACTGAAATCACACCATATATGCAATTTTTTCATCCTGCTTTTATTAAATCATAAGGATTTTAGTAGAAGCAACTGGAATTATGAAGGGCATGACAAAAAAAATCTGTACTTACGAGCTCAAGAGTTCAACTCAACAAATAAGGACTTACCTGTGTAGCAAGAACATGATCATTAGACTCTGAATGCTTATCACTGCTCAAAAACAGTGACAACTACAGTACACTGCAGATAACTAAAAATCTGCTGGGGATTAGCTCAGTAGCACAGCGCCTGCCTAGCAAGCGCAAGGCCCTGAGTTTAATTCCTGGTACTAAAAAAGAATCTGGACAATACTAGAGTCGAAGCCAGTTTCTGGAATACGCTGTTGGTGTTCCTAAATAAATCAGGAAACGACTTCTTTTTCACTATTACAATCCTAGTTTGATGGCAGCTATAATCATTTCATAGCTATGTAACTACTATTTTATTCTTAAAATACGAAGTACCAGATGATCACAGGGTGTTACCACATCAATTAATATACTAAGAGGGGTGTGTATACATGTGTTTTAAAGCAAATATTTAGCAGTTATACTAAATTGGTTAAAACACTCTCCCTTCTAGAATAGTTTAAAAAAGAGATTTACAAGGACATTTTCCCAATCATAGGCACTGTTAACAACTACGAGTGGCACACTGCAGACTTACAAGAGGCTACCTAGGAAAAGATCCCACAAAAGAATATGCTTCACCCACCATTAAATAAACTTGGCACTCCCCAACTTACCTTCTAACCATGGCATGCTAGTCAGCTTTCTGCCACTGTGACAATATACCTGTGAAAATGCTTAAAAGGACAAAAGGCAATTTTGGCTCATGGTTTCAGAGGTTTTAGTCCATAGTCACTTTGGGCCTTATCAGAACATCACGGGCCAACATAAACAGCATGGTAGAGCAAAGTTGCCTGCCTCACGGTGGCTGGGAAGTGAGACAGCAAGGCAGGGCTGGGGTCCCCATAACCTCTCCAAGAGCACACACTCAATGACCTAACTTCTTTGCTCGAGGTCCCATCTCCTAAAGATTCCACCCACTCCCACCACAGGCCAAGCTTGTGGGGGACATTTAAGACCTGAACCATAATACCTGGTTTAGATGTTCTGAATGGTAAACAGCCAATGGCTCTGCCTAGCAGAATGTCAGACAGACAGAAATAAAATCCCAATGGTGCTAAGTGGAGTGAAAACTAAAGAGGGTAGAGGGATTATTACAGTTCATAGCTAGATGTCTCCCCAAAGCCTCATGTGCTCATAGGTGGAGCTTTGGGAGGTAACTGGATCAGGGGACATTATGCACATCAGTGGATGAGTCCACAGATGAGTTTATAGCTAAATGTATTGTTTTAAGCCTGGTTGGTGGAGACGAGTGACTGGGGACTGGAAGGGTATGGTTTATCCCCACCCACCCACCTTGCTCTCATTTTCTGTTCTTGCTGCCATGCCAGGAGATTATTCTCCTCTGCCATGCTGCTGTGACCTGAAACCAGCCAAGTATGTAATGAAATCTCTACAAACTCTAAGACAAAATCAACCTTTCCTCCTTAAAGCTGTGGATATTGTGTATTATGTCTCAGTAACAAGAAAACACAACTAAGACATGGCTAGCGTGGGGGGGGGGTGGTCCAGGGAGTCTCCTCTGCATAAGTGGCATTTTAGAACCAGGACCTGAATGTTATGAAGGAAGCAGCCAGCCTGGGGACAGAACTCTGGACACAGAGAATAACAAGCACAAGGACCCTAGGATGAGAGAGCTGGAACTTTCTGGGGATGAGAAGCACAGAGCAGAGGAAGCCTGGTGGGTGACAGGTGAGGTGGGGCTGAAAGGGAGGTGGAGGCTAAATGACAAAAACCCTTCTGGGCCACTGGAAGGTGTCATAGCTGTAATGGGAAGATCCTGGAGCATTTTAAGCAGGAAAGTGCCATAATTTCATGTAATTTTTAAAAGGCTGCTATGTGGGAAAAGACAGAAGTGCAAGAGAAATCAAGGAGGCTATGCCAGTGGTCCATGCTTGACAGGACAGAGGCCTGGGCTACTATGGCAGCAGCAGAAATCATACTAGTTCCACCACTGCAAGCAGTAGTGGTGTAAGTACTATCTCTACCAGGGACAAGAAAAATAAACACTACTGCCTACGTACTAAGCACTAGATCTTGTTCTGAGCATTCAGTGCGCCCATGAACTCAGCTGAGTACCATATTTCATACAGTAACAATCGTATGAGGTGCAGACTATTCTAACATCACATAATAGATGAGGAATGCGGGTCACAGAAGCCAACTTGTTCAAGGCTGGGCCAGGATTTAAAGTGAAGCAGCCTTACCACTATGCCACCTGTGATGCATTCTGGAGAAACAACTGACTGGACTTGTTGACAGGATGAAGGAAAACAAGAGCAACTTGCAAGCTTCTGGCCCAATTAGCTGAATGTGTGACAGTACCGCCAACTCAGGAGGAATACTTGGAAAGGAACAGGTCTGGGAAAGAAATCCTAATGCTGTGCTTGTGTATGAGACGTCCAACTGGAGTTGGTTATGAGGAATTTCAATGTTGCAGTCTAGGTTCAGGGGTGAGAGCTGAGATGGAAACAACAATGTAAATGTCAGTTTGTAGCTAGTATTTAAAGCCACAAAATGGAACAAGAGATAAGATGGTGATGGATGGGAGAGGTCAGGAGGGGACAGTCCAGAGATGATGCAGCAGGCAGGCTGGTTAACAGAAGGAAGCACAGTGACTGCACCATCCATGGAAGCCAGCCAGCTCAAACCCTGCTGAGATTGCATTTATATACAGTGGGGTGAGAGACGAAGAGAACTCATTACTATATCTGGCAGGATGGAGACTATTGGGATGTCATCTCACCAGTGGAGTAAGAATGAGGTGGGCTGGGAATGTACACAACCGAGTTTTACTCGGAAGATGAACTTGAGAAATAGGGCCACGTTGGAAGGTGTTTCAGGAACAAGGTTTGTGTTCTGGCTGCTTTCAAGTATTATTAATCTTTGTATGCTAATTCTCCAAAAAGGGTTAAAATTTAATTATGCAGAAGGGAAGGTGATTCTAGAAGCTGAAGCTAAGTCTGAAAGTGGATCAGAGAAACTGACAGAAGCAGGGACATCTCCTGTGTAATGGGAGGTGAAGCAAGAAGAACAAGGTATAGCTGCAGGCCACAGATGGGTCTAGTGATTTCTTTATTTAACTTCAACTTTATTTCTTCAGTGAAATATGAGCACAGATAATCCAGCGAGGGAGTGAGAATTCAGAAGCAAGATCAATGGGAGAGAATACACAGAAACAGATTCAAATGCATACTAAACAGTACAGAGTATAACAAGGTGG